TTTCAGGCCGAAGATAGCTTCAGCAGCCACCGATGCAAGGTTAATGGGGCCCATGCCCAAAGACCTCGTGGTGTTTTTCTACCGCGCAGGTTCTTTCCATGGGCCTCCAGTGAGCACTCGGACTCCGTCACTTTTTCCCTGTGATTTAGGGTTGAGGTTTCCTTTCAGGCCGAAGATAGCTTCTGAAACTGCAGTGTTGGTTTCAGAACCCTAGGGGTGAAAAGGTTGTGAGGTCTATTTGGCTGAAGGTTGTAGACATTCCGTGCGGGTTTCAACGGGGGGTTCGAGGGCATGAAGGCATGAATTTCAGCACATTTGTCGCCAAGTGGAGGCGTCTATGTGAGAACACTCGCTCAACTCCTTACGCAAACGTCGCAGACACGCTGGACTCTGGCAAGACTCCTTTGGATTTCTATCGGAATCCTGTTGTCCAGCAACGCATTCTGCGGACCACAATTCCAAAAACTCTGGCCATCCTTCCATTTCACATCGGCATCCCTTGTTCATGTGGGCACCATCGATGGCCAGTAGCTTCGGAACATAGCACTTGGCTTTGAAGTTGCGAATAGCGTTTTTTGCGGGAGCCTCATGGTTGCAATCCTTCTGCTGGAATGTCCTGGTCTTGGCGCCCTCGTGCTGCCTTCATGGTTTTGTCGTGTTTCTGGTTTCGATGAAGCTGCGGTTTGCATCCTGGCGCGGGGATTCGATGGGCGTTTTGAATTATGAATCTCTGCGTTTTGTGAGTTTATGCAAGGCCTCCTGTGGATGACGAGGGTAGAATCAACAGCATGTGAATGCCCAGGCACTATCTGCCCCTCCGGCGAATGTCGGGCGACTTCGGAGGCCTTTTCCTATCGCATTAAGGAGAAAGCAGAAGACTCGCGCCTGCAGGCAGATGTGGAGCTCGTAGAAGCGGATGAGTTGGAAGCGATGGACTTCCAGCTCCTGCAGACCAAGGCTCTTCACCGTTCACCTACATTGTAGCCTTTTGATGGAGTTGCCATTCTGCAGGTACAGCATGAAGTTATCCATACGGAGGCCATAGCACCAGCGGGCTGCAAATCCTTGCAAGAGCCCAAAGTGCTTGTGCTGCACCAGGTTAGACAAGCTGCCTTCGCTGTTCCAAAGAGGGCTGTGTCGGGTGAAGGCGGCGTTTGCTGGCCTGGAACTTGGCAAAACTAGCAGAGGCCCACGCTAAAGACGCAGCTCCGAACATGATAGTCTACAGCTTCGCCTATCTCAAGACAATTTAATGTAAGCTGTTTGAGACATTTGCTAGAAGTCGAGGTCAGAGGAGGATTGCTGCTCTGAGGCCATGCGAGACTAGAACACAAAAGGCGTTCATGTCAGAAGCTGGAGTGTCACCCAACGCCTTGAGCGTGTTGTAACAGGACGCAGATGAGGCATACTGCCCCCTCTTCTGCCCACGCCTGAGATTCTGCGCAGTACTTGTCCACTAAGAGGTTGTCTTGACGCACGCTTGGGCTCACCATGGCTCACCTGTATTTTGAGGCAAAGCCGGCACAGAGATTGATACGCACAACGCGAAAGGATGGGAGGCATCAACGTTTCGCTGAAGAAGTGGAGCTACACGCTGGGCCCATGCCATGCTTTAGGCTTTCTCTACTGCTGTTCGGTTCTGTGAGGTGAAAGGCCAGTGCATGAAGAAATGGCCTGGCTACTGCCGGGAGGCTGTACCTGTTGAACATAAGGGATCGATTGCATGAGTTGCTTGTTTGACTCCCGATGCAGGATGAGCAGTGCAAGACGGTTAGCCATGCCAAGGGGGAAAGTGCTGATCCCACCTACGCGAGGGACTTGGGTCGAGATTACCCCCCAAAAAAGCCCGGATGACCTCCCTAATAATTAACGATGCCCAGATCGGCAACTCCATTTGCTACCGCTCCGCCGGATCACTGGATGGCACGTGTCGGTTTCTTGGCAGCGCAGTCCCAGCCTCTTCAAGATTCAGCTTGCAACAAAAGATTAGCAAAGTCTAGACATGCAGTGAACCCAGGCCCCAAGTCCAAGTGGGTCGACAGCACAAACATGCGTCCATCTTAGCTGAGGAATGACACCCTTTGCGAGTCAATGTCGCCTTGAGCTGAGCTAAAGGATGGTGAGCGTGCAAATTAAAAGGAGACGCATACAATCTACATTACATGCCCTCACGAAGTGTGGCGGCCCTGCCTGCTGGGCTGATCCCTTCCTGGTGTAGTTACGGGAGCGTCTATTTTCAGGTGCGGGCGAGGCACTTGCCGCTGGGGAAAATGCACCTGCGACTACGGTGTTGGTTTGGTCCTCGGAGTTTTGAAGCCCAGGGTCAGAGGCAATTGCTAGCCCCCCCTCGAGCCCCGTGTGCTGTGAATGCTGGATTCCTTGCAGAGATCTTTTGCATGTTTCAGATTGAGAGTACGTCGCTTGAAGCCGCTCTCACGCTGTTGCTTGCTAAAGCGTAGCCTAGCTGATTGATGTTGCTTCTAAGGTGGGGACCATTGCGATAAGTCCACCGAGGTGCGCCCTTGGTGGGGCAGGGGGCAGCCAGTACACGAAAGACATAAAGAGCTTAGCCGGTGAACGGCGATGGGTTCAGGAAAGCCTGATAGGACCTAACACCATTGCTTGAGACGCAGAGAGTCGAGCAGCTGCACAGACATTTGGTTATTAGAATCGAGCGTAGCAGAACCTACTGTCCACATCATTTCGCGCCGCCTGTTCAGGCGTTTGCCTTCCTCTTCTATGGCAACAGCTCTGAGAACCTGATCTCAGCAGTGCACAAAGTTTCTGAAATCTTTTTGACACCTGCACGCCTCCAGCAATTTCCGAGGTGCGGGTTCTTGTGAAATCGATGAGGGCGGCTGGTGCCAACCAGGCATGTGATGCTTTTTGCATGTTTTTGCATTGCCTCTCCCCAGGAGGCCTGGTCCCTTTCAAGATTTGATTCCTACTGCATCCTACTGCATCCTATTGCATCCTGGTTCAGGACATCTTGGCGATCGTGCCAAAAAACATGATTGTGCACAGCCTAGCTGATGTCAGATGCAGGCGAACTAGGTCTCCTCAAACATTCTTCGGATTGATCCCCAGCGTTGAATAGAATGTCCCAGATTTTATTTTGGAGAGCCCTGACTCGTCATTGCTTGATATCTCAAAGTAGGGCAACAAAGAGAGCTGGCTGTCTCTTGGAGTCGTGTGGGCGGTGCTGAGGACAAGACCCCAAAGCAGCACTTAGAGATCCTGACGCGGGACGGGGCTTGGGACCTTAGAATTGAAACCAACATGAGGTGATGGAATGACCATTTGCATTTTGCAGCAACTTATCCTGTCGTCGTAAATTTGCACACTTCAGGTCAAGATCTACTACACGGATCCGATCCCTATGCCTGCCGTTATGGATTCAGATCCTGTGCCCCTGTTGCAATAACAAAAGAGGAGGGAGGCATCGCCTGCTCACTGTACGTGTTGCACTCAGATTATTCATCAGCGGTGGAGTGGCGTCATGAACAAGTTCGCAGCCTGGCCCTCTGTTGGGTCTTGACAAGCCCAGCTGCCCTAGCACCAAGTGGCCCCTCCCTGGCGGCTTTGTAGCAGATGGGGTCCTGCAAAAAAGCATCTGTGTACGGTTACAGATGTACCATTAAAGCCAAGTGGATGGGACATCAAGAGGAGGACGCTGAAAGAAATCCGCGGGCCCTTTGGTTTGAAGTAGGCAAATGCTAGCCGCTGCTAGCCGAGGTGTGGCGAATGACGGAGTACTCCCAGGTGGCTTTGATGGACACAGACATGGTGTTCGATATGGATGCAGAGAGCCGCAGCCTTTCTGACTGTTTGAGAATGTAAAGCGTCAGCTAGAGAGCTGCTTTGAGGGGCTCGTGTTCATGTTTGTCAGTCTGTCAAGGTCCAGGGAAAATCTTTTCAGAATGCAGTGCTCCAATTTGCGCAGTCCGCGCAGCCCTCGGCAATGCGGCGCATCCAGCAGTAGCGCAGTCAGGATACATCAGGTTCTTTGCATACGCTCTTTGCATAGATGGCGTCAACATCCATTAATTTGATAGTGGCTTCAATGAACAACGTCTGTTCAACTCGCATCTACACAAATCCTGTTTCATGGACACAGGCACTGATCAAACCGCAAGGTATCGCAGTCACAAGCAAGTCTGAGAGTATTCTTTTTTGCTTTCTCTTTGGCTGTGCGTACAGGGTGTACAGGGTGGAAGGTGAGCAAATGCAAGACGATTGCCACAAAGCAGCCGCAAGCAAAATACGTTGCAGTGTTTCGAAGCGTGCGGATTACAGTTCCATGGTTGCTAACCTGGTGGATTTGGACGCCGGAGATCCTATCCATGGCATGGGTCCATGAGCTTGCCAACGCTGATTCTGTGGGAGATGGCGCCAGTCGCCTGGTGATTCTTTTGGTTGGTGTATTAAAGCTGGGGTTGTTGTGGTAATGCAGTCTGGAGTGTGAGCAGGCATATGCCCCAAATGGACTGGTTGCCCCGTCAAGCGCAAAATCGAAACGCTTGATGACCACGGCAGGGGTGGCTAATAACAACGGCAAGGGCCGCTAGTTCAGCCCTCCAGCAGGCGATGGCGACTCGCGATTTATGAATGCAGGCGATTGATTTGCCCGTCATGGAGTGGCTCCTGAGTTCGGATGGCTATAATGCTGGTGCAGGTGTCATGGTCGTCACGCCGTCTGGGCAGCGCTTAGCGCACATCCTGCAGGCTTCATGCCGTTGTTTACTTCGGATCCTCAGGGCTGCTGACAAATACGTATCTGAAGCCCATGCTGCATTTGCAAATGAAATGTCGCCTGCAGCCCCTGCAACTTCTGGAGCAATGTCATGCAGATGCCTCCTGTGGATGAGAAACTTTGACAGCAGCATGGCAGGTTCTGGCTGACGAGCAGCACCATTTTGCCATGCCGGAGCAGCTGTAGCCTCAGAGCCGAGTAGGACCAGGAAGGAGAGGTGTGTTTCGTAAAAAGAGGTGTTTGGATTGCCTCGAGGTCCTTTTTGACCCAGTACTGCAAGAACAAGAAGTTCAAAATGAAGCTTCAGCGGCCTGGCTTGCAACGCAGCCAGTCGAGTCCGGCTTATGAGAGCCCTCAAAGGACGTACGATGGTGGCAACATGTGGCAACCAGCTATATCTTGCTCAGGTTCTTGGACAAGAAGTGGAACTCGTGCGCCGGGGATCTCAGCCTGATGTGGGATCTCAAGGAGTTTGGGAGTGACCCTGGCGGTATGGGCACAGAGCTTCCTGCAGCCAGTAAACATTCTTTAGAATGGAGCTTTGCAAAGGTTGGCGGTGGTATGCTGCACAACACCGGCTGGGAATCCACAGGCCGGTCCCTGCATTGCGAGAAGCGTGCAGCTGCTTGTGCAGCAATGCTTGCATAAGCAGCAATGCGTCGAGGCTACAACGTGCTGCATTCCTGCTCATGGACCGGGAAGCCTCCGTCTGGGTCCCCAAGGGTTTTGTGCCTGTTGACCTTGTGGCCAGTGCAAACACATCCTGTACGCTTCCAGCTCACATGCCAAAGATTGACCGTCTGAGGAACATGAAGATGTGCTTCCCCGGGAAATGCAGCAGTGACGAGGAGCCAGCCGCGCCCACCGAACAACACTCCAGGGAATCAGGGGAGCAGCATAGCACAGCCTGGATGGTGTCGGACGAACATGAGAAGAAGAACCAGGGTTTGTTATGGAATCTGTGCGTTTTGTGTCTTTGTGGCTGTCTGTCATGCATTACAGATGGTCCAACCAAACTAATTCCCAACCCCAAGGGATGAAGTTGATTCTCCCCTAGGATCGTTGAGCACCCTAATATACGACCCCGCCCCCGGAAACAAGCACACTCGGACAACATGAGGCATGAGTTTCTTTCTGTGTGAGCTTCATTTGAACAGGTTCTTGCAGCCTCAAGCAGTACCAACCCTTCAGTCTGAATATCACAGCAGTCGGTCGTGCCCAGATGACATCATAGTCTCAAGCGCCTGGGAACAACGGTCGTGTTAAGGCCCGAGGCATGCAGGCTGTCGCTTAGCTGGAGGCAAATGCGAGCCCTGGTGTTAGAGTAGTAGTGCAGGAGTGGCACACAGTCCTGGTGTGGCAGTTCTACCACATGCAGGCGCAAGTGAAAGTACAAACTTGACCCACGGGATGTTATGGTAGGTTTGCGTGTTGATGGGCTTAGGCAAGGTTTGGTTGGTTTTGGCAGCCCGCTAGATTTGAAGCCTTCAGGTGGACAGTTGCATTCGACACCAGGATGCCAGCCGAGATCTCAAATTTTCGTAGACACTGAGCCTTCTTTCCGTATAGACATGTATTTTCAGCTGCAATCTCAGAAGTTGCAAATGCTGACGTAAATAGTGGCACATGCAGCTGCCTTCTCGTACAACCTTGCGACCGAGATACTTGCAACGGCCACGCAAGCCAGTGCCAGTGGCTATGCACTCAGATGGATTGCCAACGACGGAAAGGATTTCAAGACCACCAGTCTCAGCATACAGGAAGGTTTGCAGCATGGCGGGTCAAATTCTCTATGCCTCCGAACTGCCCTCCAACAGTGAGCTGAATCCCAGGTGTGGCAAGTATTGCAGCACCAGGGAGATCGCGTGTAACAAGAAGCTTTTCAACCAAACCTACATCAAGGCCAGCGCACAATCTGTTTCGGAGCGTTCTTCTCTTGCAGGTCTGTAGTCACATGACTTCGCTGTGCACTGACAAGTTTGGGTCGCCATGAGCAATCAGTATTGTACTTCATAAATGGCTGGCGCTCCCTGGCCCCGGTTTCCTCGCACGCCATACACGGAGCGTTCAGCCCCCAGAGAAAGAGAGAGCAGTCTTTGATCAACGCTCAATTGTTTTGATGGACATAGATCTTGGTCGCTATCGTGACGGGTGGGGGAAAGTGCAAAAATTTTGTTGGTGGTTGTGCTGCAGGATCCCCCCCCCGATCTTTACCACGACTGCTTCATTTCGACTTGGAGTTTTCATGAATCCCCTAATTATACGACTCCCCTTCAATAAAGGGTATTTCAAATGTGCAGGCAAAGGACCTAGTCTTCAATGTATGAAACAAAAAACCCTACGGAGCGCATTTAAGCAGTGGATACCTGGTGTACCCGCCTTTTCTTTAAAGCTTGGAAGCTGTCATTCTTCGCTTCTGCCTTTCGGACCCCTGGTTTGCTTGGCTAATTCTTGGCTTGGATCTACATTTTGTCATGCTGGATCCCTCGACGAACTCCAGGACAAGGACGAGCCAGACATTCAGGACCCAGCCGGCCGGGAATCAGGTAGTCGCGAGCTGCGGTCATGTCTCATGGTGCACTTGTTTTCTCAATTCTTCGAGCAGGAGGCTTCCCGCCTTGGAGCTCTCACCCGGAGCGTGCCCGACCCTTAAAGACTTCAAACCACTTGCGGAGGCTGCGGAGTAGCCCAACCAGCCATACTCAGCCTATTTCCACAATGTAGGCCCTTTAGGACTCATCGAGTTCAGTGCACTTGCATTTGCCTAGAGAAGCCAAACCCGGCTGTGCCGTGAAAAGACGATAACGTTGGGTGGGACAACAGGACTGATAAAGCCGTATGAAAGCAGTGCGCCAGCCATGTTCCAGTCCCCAAAGCTCCCCTACGCCGAATTGTAAATGCATATGCGCAGGATGCACGACAACCATCCCAACAACATAAAGCAAGGCTGTTACTACTCAGCCAAGGTGGGACATGCCAGACAACACCTCGCAGCAGGACTGTTGCACATTGTTTCTACCGTGCAGCGTGTGCCATCGCGTGACTTGCTCGCGTACCCCGAGCTGTTGCAGGAGTGGAACAACCTCCCAACAGGGTCCTGGGCCTGGCCACAGGCCTCCCAACGAAGAGTTGCACAATGACTTTTCCGCTTTTGCTGACCAGGTAGCCATGTATCAGATTCTCATCGATCGATTCGCAACAACCAAGCCCAAGCACTGTGAGAAGTTGCTGCTCGACTCATTAGCTATGGGCATTTGGTCTTGCAGCGGCCACGTTTTTGCGCATAATGACATGATGGATACGGGCATCTAGAGAGCCGAACACTTACCCAGGAACGAGTACTGCGGTGGCAATATCCAGGGAATCATGGAGCAAGTGAGCTACCTGGAGGCAACTGTCTTGCACTTCCATATCAGACTAGAGGCTGACAGCCTGGAGGATTAATCAATGTAAGCATGAAGAAGTTTGAATGTAGAGATCCTCTCTGCAGGAGCTGGGTGTGGACGGGATCGTCCTTTCCCCAATTGTCGATCAGGCTGCTTTCCGCTCTCTTCTTTGCGGGTGAAACATTGCATGTGTTGCGAGCGCTTCTACTCGCCCGCCTGGCCAGATGCCGCATGGCTACCACGGCTATTGGACGAAGGATCTCACCAAGGTCAACCCTGCCTACGGCACGGAGGACACTACATGCAGCATGGGCTTCACCGGCCAGGTAGTTGCGACACACATCAGCGTAAACCTCAACGGCAGAGCTGCTGCCCGATGGCTTTGCCGACCATTATTGTGCAAAATACTCAAAGAGCAAAAGTACGTAGAGACCCGCTCGGGCGCAACACACCTGACCTGCCTTAGATCTGAGAGATGACCTAGTTCCATCTCGCCTTCAGGTTTGGAGCTTCCCCAAGGTTTCTCACAAGTGGCCTGAACCCCCATGCCTGTCAGGATGATGTGCGGGAAATGGTAATTCTGCTCCACGAGAGGAGGATGAAGGTCATCGTCGATGTGAACATGATCTTTGGCAGCATTGGCTTTCCAGATCACAAGCGGCTTGCACGAAAATCCTGATGCAAAGGAACCATGCGGGGTCTCAGAAGATCAACGCCAGCAATCCTCGTGACGTGTTGCAGCCTCAGATGCCATTAGGTTGCTTCGAACATGATTTTGAGCACGTTTTGAGATCCGTGTTGCTTCTCCCGCCTGCAGTACTGCTTGTAGTAACAGATCTCTTACTTTCGCAGATCACTCCTGAAGCCCTTCAACAAGCCTGAACACTACCATGCAGACAACTGCAGCGGGGAGCTTAGATGGCTGAGCTAGTGTGATTCTTGCAAGTACTGCTTGGCATTGCAGTTCCCACTTCAACACGTCCCGATACGGAGACAAGGGCACTTTCTCAAAAAAATCTGAAGTTGTAGGCCTCATCCATGACTCCGACTATGAGAGGGGCTCATACTTCTTGGAGCGTCGATGCCTGAGTATAAGCACAAAGCGAAGCCTTGCGCATGCGCTCAGTGCAGTGCGGTGTCCTTGCAGATCTGAGGAAGTCTGAGGAAGACTTAAAGCGAATTTGCACCATCAGTCCTTCACCAGACCTTCCTGATTCACCAGACTTTCCTGATTGCTGCCCGAACCCAGAATTGAATTGGAATGCGCTTCGCTGAGACTGCAAGCTGTACGGCTTGCCGGATTTCAACCACGAGAACCCAGTGGTTTGGCAGGGCCTCATGCAGTGGGTGTGCCTTAGCTGCAGGTAAGCTCTGAATGTGCATAGTTTTCGCGATAGTGCTTTTCTCAGAACCCGCTAGGGCATGCAAACCAGCGTAGTGTTTAGAGATGGCCGATTCTCGATAGCTGCTATTGAATGCCACTTAGATCATGGCAGAGGCGAGACCATGTGGACAAGTACGGGTTTGATGGCATCCGCGTGGACGCTGCAAGACACATCAACAGGACCCGTTGAAGCAAGAGGTCTGCCATAATTTGCAGCAACCAGTTTACAGGTTTACAATCTGAAAAGGCAGCTCGATTCCAGTGGCGCCAACTTGTCCTGTGCTGTTGCCACGGATGATTCTCGACCCAGACTGTCTGAATACATTGGCATGACACGCAGCTTATGGACCTCAGGAAGAACGCGTGAGCCTGGGATAAGACAGGGTGACTACGTAGGGCATTGTCAGTCAAAGGTGGCCAACACGCTTGTGCCCCATACGGTCAGGAGGTGCTGTGGTAGCTCTTATCCCGGTAATCCCGCCAACTCCTGTGGAGAGCTTAGCAGTGCCTCTTAATATCAAGATGCTCTTGCTCTCACATTGGCTTGGAAGTTTTGGTTATGGGCTGGTTGCGCTGGTATACATGGATTTTCTCTTCATTATTCATTCCGATGTGGCAGCAATTGCATGGTGCCTGACCTATAAAATCAAGAGGTATTTGTTTCGCTCCCATCCCTTGCACCGCCACTTAGTTCTGCTAAAAAATCCTTGCAAGCAGCCTGGACAGGAACTTTTTGAACCACATTCCGGAGACGGGCCCACCCATTCCTGCTTACTATGAGGCATGAGGGGGAATTTGGTCAGCATTAGCTGCGGCCAGGTCAGCAGGCACTGTAACGTGTTGTTGAGAGCAACTGCACATTGAAATTGTGATGATGGAGCTACACATCGTGTCTTCCATTTGGAGTGGAGGTGGTGAACACGGACATGGCGTACGTTGCCGGCTACGCCACCGGCGATTACGGAGCCGTCTACAACTATCCTCTCTACTTTGTGCTCAAGGATCCGTCTGCCTAGCTTGAAGCAGCACTGTTTCGAGACATGCATCTTGGTCGCTGTAGCAGGACATCTTCGTTCCTGGACCGAAGCAGAAGCCGATGTCTGCACTCGGCGACTGGATAGTGAAGCAATCGCCAAAAGCGCAGGCCTGATGGCTCTGTCAGTTTGTTACAACTTCTCTGCCGTTGTGGGCATTGCAGTGTGGGATCTAACCCAGCCACGGCCAACCGTCAGGGCCGCCTGATGCTTAACTTCTTGGACAACAACGATTTGTCCCGTCCTCAAGTTGTTCGTGGGAGTGGCTTTTTGACACTGGAGGGCCCACGCCCATTCAGCAATATGGGGCTTTTGTGGTAATTGGCAGTGGTCGTATCAAAGCCAGGCCAAGTTTGAAGTTGAATACTCACTCTTCATCAATCCTGTTTGAGCCCTCCAGTGGAAGTTGCAGCTCCAACATGATCTACACATGACTTGCCATGACTTGAGGCCGCGCTTTTTGTACCGGATCGGCGAGGGCGGCGGTGTTCCGGAGGCCACAATGCTCGCGTGAGGATCTCAGAGACGGTTTTATCTGACACCTAAGCCGCTAAGCAGCCAGTTTGGGAGGCTGTACCACAATGCCTTGCTGGCAGTGGCTGGCCCAGCTGAGCAGGGCTGCGATCTTTGGACTCAGGGATTGCTGAGATGCGAAGCAAGGCAGTTGCTGCTTTGAGAGACTTGCCCATATACTCGTTACACTGCTGTATATACAATCGCATCACCCAAAGCCCGACGTTAGGGCGTCGCACTACCAGGCAGAGCAAGCATATCCTTGTACTACGTCACAGATCGGTGTGCTGAGATGATGGGTATGGAGGGCTTGCCCGCCATTCTCTTCGGCTCGGAGCAGAATGCACGCGGCCGTCGGGATCCTGGAGATGTGTCCCTGACGAGCTGCTGAAGCTTTGACTTGTCCAAGGCCTCAACTACTCAGATCCGCTCAAGGCAAGTGACAGCTTCGTGCTGTAGAAACGAATTGGTGACCCTTGATTTGTTGTCACAGGTGGACAACTGGCGGCAGCCTTTGTGGCATCACGGTCGGGTTCCCAGCGCCGCACGCAACTGTTGACGCCGCATCTTTGATATGAAATCTCTGTTGTTTGCCGGGCAATCGCCGTGCAAATAATGTTCAACGATTTGCGTCCATGATGAACGGCTGAGGCTACAACATGTCCACCTCCACCTACCAGCTCATAAAGAAGGCCAGCCACCTGTTTGCGTGATAGTTTGGAAGACCTGGCGAGTTTCAATGCAAGAAGCACCGAAACAAGCAAAACCATAGCAAATCCTCCCAAGCATTTCATGAACTCATGGGTTTCGTGCGGGCATTGTCATCCGTGATTGGGTTTCAGAATTACACAATTTGCGAAGACAGAAGATCGCAGAGTGAGTGTAGTGCAGCAGCCAGAGTTGCTGGGCTCGTGCCAGAGATGAGGTGCTGTGGGTCCGGCAGAGAACCAGTGGACTGCATGCCTTCAAGTCGATCCCGGTGTACATGGATCACCAGGCCTGGGGAGTGGCGTGCCATGGCGTGCCTTGGAGCATCTAAAGTCTAAAGTCTAAAGTCTCAGGTTCTCGTGTGGGCTCGGGGTCCAGCCATCTTCGCAGACCGCTCAGTATGCTGCTTGAGAGGTTTGCATTTCGTTGCTTTGGTAGAATGTCGGCTGCTACTGAACCCCTCAGGCGGTCAGCAACGCCGGGCAGCCCAGCAAGATCCCGTCGCAGCGGGTCCTTTGGGACAATGCCACCGCGGGGCTGGGCCCGTACGGGCGCCGGCCTCAGCACTTGGTTTGGTGGCATTGTTCATCTACGAACAAGACACTGCAAAAGATTGACTGAGATAGTTAGTGCATGACAGCACCTCCTGGCCAAGGACTCCTTCCCTGGTGTGCAACATCCTTGATGTAAACCCACTGAAGGCACATGATTTGCAGTGACCACTTGGTTGAGTGAGCTGAGCAAGAGCTGCATGTGGAACGCGTAGCAGCTTCGCAAAGGGTTCGGAGCTTTGCCCTGCATCCCTAGGCACTAGACTTGCGGGTTCTTTTGCAAAGTCAATCCTTAGCCGATCCTTTGAAATGCTTTGAAGAGTTATCTGTACTCATTGGCTTTTCCTGCCTGTCTCGTAGCTGTTGTGGCATGTTGGATGACTGGTTCACATTTCGCATGCCAGGACTGCGGCGTGCTTGTGCCGGGCAACATTTCTAGGCTGCACCTCACGTCTGATCCAAAGCTATATGCCCCAACCTTACTCCAGGTTGTGTCCATTTGTACACTTAGAAGTCAGCGCACAGTAGTCTGCGCAGCGGTGCTTGAGATTTTTGCTCTGACACGACGATGCTGCCATTTGTTCTGTTCAGGTGCCAAAGGAGTACATACTTGAGTATGAGACGTTCATGAAGATCAAGAAGAAAGAAGGCCAAAGAAGCCTGGGACATTGCCCTGTTCTAGCTGCATGGGCGAAAATGAAGTATGCATGTAAGCGCAGCTGTCACAAACACAAGAGTCTCAACATGCTTTAGAAGAAGTCTGACGTTGATGCTGCTTAAAATCAGCCGGCTCTTGCGGCCGTCATGCAGAAGTCTGTGGCAGGCGACAGAGTCGTCGAAGACACGCAGAAAGATCCAGCAGTTCTCCCCTTCACAATGTGGAAGGCCGCGAATGCAGGATAGTTGTGTGTTGAGCCCGTGCTGTATGGTGGCACTGCCCACAACCCTACTTCTCAGTTACTTGGCACATAAGATGAAAGAAGCGGGTATACCTGTTTGTGGCTTGCGGCAAACCACCTCCCATGAGTTGCAGTGCTCCGACCTACCAGTCCACCAGAACATTTTGCCGCCCATGACAGCTCACGTGAGGCTATGCCTGATCCTCCCAAAGTTCAAATCCAGGCCATTGTTCTTGCAGGTATTAGGAGGGTGCTTGCTGAGATGATGTGTTTCAGAAGATCATTTACCCTGGTACATGCTTTGGAGGGACATGCGGCTGGACATAGGGCATTTGCTAAAGGTAGTTCCATCATCGTATAGGCTTATGACATTTACTCACTTGCGTGATGCTTCAGTTTATTCGCTTCGCTTGGCAAATGTCGTGAGTCGTGTATATTGGCTTCAGACTTAACTGGAAGATAGAAGAGTTTATATAAAGCTTACTTACTCAGTTGTTGCAGATCCGAGCCTTTCAAATGAGTTTCATTCTTACAGCATTAGGACCTAGACTGCAGGCTCAGAAGCGGCTCCCACGCTCATGGAGACCTGGCACTGTGACGCTGCCAGTGCCCCAGCAGATAGCAGTGCCTCGTCTGAGTGAGCGCCGACAGTGCAAGGCTGTTTGAGCCAAAATTGCAATTTGCAGGAATGGAAATCCGTCGTGGGTGTGGCATACATTTCCGCAGTTGCCGTCAGTGGCCCAGTCGCTACGTCAAGCATAATGCCATAAGGTGTCATAGCAGAAGATTTTGAAGCAAAAGGATTCTTTTTTCCCACAGCTTCCTTGGGCCTATTATGAGGCCTCACCTGGACAAGTGGGGGCCGCCGCTGGGGATGCCAGTTCCTCACGTCATTAGCGCATCTCTCAAGGAGATTCGCCAAGCTTGGCATGTTAGTAGTTCGGTCATGCCACTTTTTGGGGAAACCTTGAAACAGAATGCAACCATAACATGTTGGCCAAATTTGGCAGGCAAGCTCAATTTGGACTTTTGGATCTGTGTTACGTAGCTGCGCGATGGGAGATAGCATGCACAACTTGCATTAGTGGGTTTGTTAAAAGTCAGCGCCAGAGAACCTTTGGAAGACTGGACGACGTTTAGATGAGCCGTCGTCAGCAAGGGCTGCAAGATTCAGTCGAGGCTGAGAACACAGATCAAGAGACACCGTCAAGAGTTTTCTGCTGGGCTGTAAGCAAGTTGCAGCGGAATTGCGGATGGACCCTAGTTCGGTAAAGTGTTCAGGTTTTCAGGTTTTCGATGGAGCGTTCCTTCCCTAACCATCTTGCACACCATTCTTTGCTCCTTTTGGGCATCCGTGCTGTGCAGGATGCATGTTTCTACTTGGGTCCTGGGGAGAAGGCCCGAGCGTTGAAAATGCTGATGCGATGTTAGAAGTTTAGAAGGCTTAAGAAGTTGATTCTTGTGACTCCTATTCCAGGACGGCGCCCTTTACGCGAGAAGAAAAGACAATAGGACCTACGTGCCGGGCACTTTGGGGAGACGGCTGATAGACCTTGGCTTGCAGCTGTGCATGTCTGAGGCTGTGCCCGGATTCGCCAGAGTTCTGCCCGCGCGTTGTCAACGAGCAGGTCTGCCAGCACGCCTGAAACTCCTGCCACGCATGTCACGCGTGGAAATAGAGCTGGGCCCACCCCACCCTGTCATGGAGAAAACGTTGCTGTCCAGATGTCCTGCCATCCTTGCCTCATTCTGCTGCAGGTCAATTTGACCAGGCTCCTGCACCATTCCCAGCAAGTGGGCTTGCCGAAGCGGGACCGGGCTGCCGAGTGCAATGCTCCTGCCGGTGTGTCCCAGCTGAGCAAAAGCGGTGTCAGTTGCACAACGGACCTCAGAGGAGTTCCCAGTGCTGCACTTGAGCTTTGACGTTTGGTCGGATACTCGGAGGATGCAGGGGTCAACAGGGGCATGCTCCTAGGTGTGCCAACATGCAGTTGGGCAGCAACACTGCATGATACAGGTACGGCGTGTACCACATGCTCATCAGCGCACTGCCGTCTGTAGCGCCGCGACTAGACAGGCTGCGGAATGGAACCATGGAGGCTCTCATCTGCACTGCGCGCGCTATAGCTGCTGTATCACCCGCAAGCATCTATCACCATTTGGGCACTAGGCATACCTCGCAGCATTTCTAGTTGTTTTTGGAGCTTTTTTACTGCAGCCACACAAGTGGTTTGTACCCTTGGGTTTGGGTCCCGACACACAAGTGATCAATGTTGCACAGTGCCGCTTGCACTGGTGATTGAGCTTCTTTCCGAATGTACCAGGATAATGAACGCCTTCTGCAGCTGTATTTGGCAGATTCGTCATATTCGGTGCTGCCAGTTGTTTATCCATGCGGGCCACAACTTTGTCAGCCAAATCTTGCTCCGAACTCGGCCTCTGATTGGTTGACAGCAGACTATAGGGGATGGAGTTACCCTCAAGTGTTCGGACTCAGGTCTGTTCTAGGTGTCGAGGGCAACATCATTCGACCTTCCTCCAACCCTCCACTGAAGGAGGCCTGCATATCTGCCTGAACACAGCCTAGCACGACGCGGGCAGATCTGGCTGGTTGCCTTCTTGATTGCCCGTGATGCTGAGCTGCGCCCAGTGCAGGCTTTCCACTTTTGTGCGCCTGAGATCCATTTCGATCTCGCCACAAGGCCATGCGTGATGAATGTACCACGCGTGCAACAGATGGACTAGGATAGCTCGCAGTTCCGTAAACCATGCCGTGGGATGATACTTTTTTGGCAAGATACTGAAGATGAGAAGACTTGGAAAGGAGCCCTATCCCAAATCTATCCGACCCTAACGTTGCGAACCCTGCGGTTGCACACATGCAGAATGACCTGCAGCAGGCCGCAGTATCCTCGTTTCGAGTTTTCTGTCGGGGCCTCGAGGTAATGGTCAACTTTTCCATTCTGGAACTTGTAATCAGGTGTTGAGACAACATCAGGGCCCGAAGGGCCCAAGAAAAGCTGCAACTGAGGTGCCTTACCTAGCTGAGTTCCGAAAGAATCTGCTGGCCATGGACGACTCGATGGATGAGTCCAACAGGCTTTTAAGGCCAAGTGACATGCAAAAGACAAATGTTTGCCACGGAGGCCGTGCAGACTGAAGAATCGTGGACACATCGTCGCCTGACGCCTAACTGTGTGGACTGACGTACAGACGGCAAGCCGGCCTTGCTTGCTGTGAAGTCTCACATGGATGGGGTGAGGGGCGCTGGCCATACAGCAAGAGTACTTGCTCGTGTGGCACGGCGCAAAGCAAACATGCGGAGTTGCTCCGTGCTTGATCAGATGGAACTGTTGCAAGGTGCTCTCACGTGGTCATGGCTCTAGAGCCCTCGGCAATGAGGATGAAATGGTTAAGGCGCGTTCGCTGTAGGAGTCATTGAATGGCGCAACGCTACTTTGGGCCCTGTTCCTTGTAGGCCTTGAAAACCTTGGGGAGACCTGTGGAGGCGCATGAATTCTGCCATGTTAGCGAACCGTACACAGCAGCCACGTGCAGGTTGTGACTCCAGACCCGAAGAATTTCCTGCACACGCTGCAAGCGCTGTCCAGAGCCGAGGTCTGCAAAGGGTCAGAGGAAGCCGTCCCATGCCATGGCAGTGTGCCCCCTGACTCTGGCCAGATCTTGCTGGGCGCGCATGGGGCCAACATGGCCAACATGCTCTTCGCGCCAGACGGTATGAAGGTTGTGGAGATTGTTCCTCAGGCCCTCACGCGTGATGTCCTGGCTTTGGTAGGTCACAGCTGCAGCCCTTGCTTAGTTGCATGACAGTTAGGTGCCGTTCAAGATGCAAGACTACCACTTCTGGGACTTAGCCGCAGCGTTGAACTTTACATACCTTCCCGTTGGGGACAAGGCTCAGCAGTACACTGGCTCGACGTCAAGCGGAGCCTGATCGAGGAGTGTCTGTTTGCCAGGTCATGCCAAACGAGTACGACCATCAGCTGGCCGCGGACCCCTTTGGTCGAAGCACATGCCGCTCTCATCTCTCATCGTTCTCTCTTGAAGTTGCAGCTGGCAGGGTCTAGGTGTACAGCCGCCAGTTTGGTTCCAGAGAGCGGAAGAACATGTGTCGAAGGACCCGATGACTGAAGACAAGGCGGTCTTGTCCATGAATGTCGACATTGAGGAGGCAGGGCCGGTCTACCAGATCCATTTTTTGATTGCAGGGGAGAGCACGCTCATGCTGCGTTCACAGGTGAAAGCCTTGATCTCCAGCTTGCTTGGCTGATGAACCACAGCCACAAGCTTAGCGTTCCTGTTTATCTAGATAAGTTAGAAATACTACATACATTAAGAACATTCAATAATTTACTTAATTTCTTCTAGCCTTTACAGGAGAAGTTGAATAAATTGAATAAATCAGATCATTGAACTCTAGGCTCCTTGGCTGGCCCCCAGGGTCTATTTAAATCAATGAATTAGTTGAATATCAAAGCTGAGGCCACAATTTACTTGTAGTCTGGGAGGTGAGCGATTGCACTCCTGAAGACGTGGCCGGTGTTGTTTCACAGGGCGAGTGCCCGCGATAACGCGCGAAGCAGCACATGGACACCAATGTGGACAGAAGCGGAGCAAGACCACGTGGCCGCCCCTCCACTGGGCTCCCAGATGCTTCATTAACCACTAGTTGTCAAAATCCTGTATCGCTCCGCATCTGCCTGCTGGCTGGGCCTTGGCGGCAGACTGCTGCCATAAGCCTGGCCATGCCTGGCCCTTCAGGAGAGCCAGAGCTAGGAGAAATTAGGTCTAGGTATGTCCAGGTGTCAAAGCTGCAGCCTTTGCTGGGGCACGCATTTCCTTCCAAAGTCACTTTTGCTAAGCGACCCCGGCAGCAAAGGGTGCATGTTCAGCTTATCTGGATATTTGCAGTGTCCTCAAGTTTTCAGAGCTGCATGGCAGCATGATGCAGCCTTCCAGCGAACCGTCGTGATCAGGAGACTTCGATAGAGGATGCTGCAAGACAATTGCTGAGGGAGCAGCTTGCCACATCGTCTTAAGTAAGCTCAAAGTCAATGAGTAAGCCCATATTATACATCTCATACCGGGTATGCCATGCCCTTATACGAGCCTAATATAAGACTTTTTTAGGGGTACCCACCTGGCAACTACCCAACTGGGGGTGTCCTGCAAAAATGTCTCAAACGCTCTCCGAGTCCTTATGATGTTAATCCATGATGTTTGCGGCTTGTGTAACCGCCTACACGAGTCCCCACGCAGGCGAACAGGCCCATGCCTCAGCAAGATGGGCACTGGCCATACGAACAAAGCAAACTGAAGCTGTTGCAAACACGTGCCAATGGTTTGCGCCACCTCACTGCTTCCTCCATCAAGCTCTGGCCTTGGACACATGCTGAGGAGGCCAGCTTGGCCCGGAGGTGACCCTGAGCCGCAGACTCCTGAGCATTTTCTCATACTTCCAGCGATGCAAGTGGACATGTGGACTAGGTTCTGTGCGAGGAAAGGGTTGCTTTTTCCTGTCCCCAGGCACCAAGAGCGACAGCTGGCAGCCGCCTGCCGAGGAGGAGCCAACAAGGCCAGATATACTCATGCGGGCTCTTTGCTTGCGTGGACTCCGTGCCAGACTCCTTGCAGGGAGCCTGTGCCATCACCCCCAAACGCGTGTGGCACCTGGCAGAGGTCTAAATTAACCTTCCACAATGCCCAGCTTGCAAGGGTGATTACCAGCTTTTTCTTTATTGTAAGACTGAGCGTACGTATTGTGTTTGTGCAGCCATGTCTCGAGACTCACCGACTCCAGCACCAGGCAACTGGTCCCACCGCGACCAGAGCCGAATGGGAGGCGCCTTGATCCTCCCAAGGCGGGGCAGTCTGCCGAGCAGAGCGGTGTTGAAGGCTGTGCAGGCTTGTTTTTGATTTGAGGATCTTGCGCTGAACCCAAGTCCGAACGGGCATCTTCGGCCGCCCATCTTGGAATCCATTGGGCACGCTTCCTTGCTACCAGGCCAGCCGCAGAATGCAGAATGCAGAGAGCTACACTGCTACATCTGAGCATTGAGTGACAGCTCACTGCATCTAGATCCGTGCTCGACAGAGTTAGGAAGTCTCGTCGCACCATAGACACCACGATCCTGTTTGATAGTCGCGCTGCGGCCATTTCTTGATGTAGGCCTGTCTTCAGTAGAGCCGAGAAACAGAGGCCAGCCAGCATTGCGTGGTCCTTCCTCCACGTGCGGCTCCAAAGGGAGTGGATTCCGGGAGTGTCGCAGGCATTTGAAAGGATTGTTTGAGCAGTGATTGGCATGTTGCGTTCATGACAACAAGACAGCCATAGGCATCTTGATTGAAAAGGTCAAATGGGCGCTGGACAAGGCCAAGACAATTAGCAGAGCTGCGACAGCAACAGTAAGCAGACGCCTTCTTCGTTGTCATGAACGGAAACTTGAGATGCAATCATGGAGAATACTGGGAAAACCACTAGTGATGCAAACTCAGCTGTCATCCACACATCGAATGTCTTGGCCGTGGGGATCACGAGCTTCCAAACATGATATCTTGTCAACTGCGTTTTGGTGGGACACCTGCACAGGCCTGCATATGTTGAAGGCGCGTAGAAAGGTAGCGTATCATATTGTGAATCAAGGCCGGCCCCAAGAGCACCGCTGGGTCGAGGGGACAGTCGCCTGGAACTTGGAAGCAGGTTCATCAGGAGCATGTCGGCTTGTGGCAGCTTTGCAAGTCTGGATTCAGAAGCGCTGTGGCTTCCAAGGTAGCAGCTCGTATGAGTACAGTCCGTTGCTGAGGGCGTGTCAATGTGAAGCAAAGCTTTTCATGTGGAACGAAGCTCTTGAAGTCCAGCAGTTTCTGCAAGAAGCGTTCCTATTGGGGTTGGGGTCTTGGACGAAGGTTTTGAATGCAGTGCGCGCACATCAGAACGCTGTGCTGGCTACCAAGGCGAGTCTTGCGACGACAGGGAACCACCCTTGCGCAGGCAGACCACCACATTTTCTGCAACATGTCGCAGCAAGCTTGATCATCGCCACCGCATTTCTCGAAGATCCTTACCGTAGCCACTGCATGCCTCGTCTTACCCTGCAGGCGGCCCACCAGCCCCATGGTACGAAGCTGGGGCCTCAGTCTGGCTTCAAAGGCCGTTGACGTAAGCATGCCTGTCCTCTTTTCGGAAGTGGAAGTTAGGTCGCAGCCAAGACTCTGCCATGAGGCTGGTAGAGTGCACTGTTTGGAGTTGACGCTTGCTTGGCCTGGCAGTTGCAGTGAGAGGGTGGCATTGCTGGAAAGTTGGACGCTTCCAGGAGACCGCCTCACTCTTCGACAAAAGTCAACCTCCAGGAGGATGCTGCCAATCCAGCGCCAAAACAGCATGAATTTGTTGAGCCGCTTGGTTCGCAGTGCTCAGCAAATCTGAACCTTCGCAGGAAGTGCAGGTTTGGCGGAGATGGCCTCGTCGATCTCGGTCTCCAAAGGCTGGGAGCTTCCCTTCCTCAGCCATGTTGAGGTTTGAAGCTGGAATGCCAAAAACTTCATGACAGTGTGGTGACATTTTTTTGTAGGAAGACGTAGAAACATCAAAGCGTGCATGCTGCCTGGGCTGTTGTTGCACGCGGCCCGGGAAGCCATCGATCATGCCTGCATGCGAGGTGCGGCAGTCGCCGCAGAGTTCGGCTTCTGCGGCCTCAACAGGCCGAGTGGATCGAAGAGTGTTGCAAAAAGATTGAGTCATACCAGTGGGATGACCGAGCTCAGCCGTCTTTCGAAGCAGTCTGGCCTGAAAGGAGAGCGCCCAGATCGCGAGCCTGGAGCAGCTTTGTTCCGCAGCCTGCGGGAATTCCGTGCGGATGCTCAGCAGGTTCAACTTTACTTGGCACTTGTCACAGCTTCATTCCGCATCTTGTCTCACGATTGTCAACCACAGCTAGCCAAGGCGTCATCGGTAGCTGTGGCAGATCTGCTTGACATGGACGTGCTTCGGTTTTTCATCGCTTGCCTGCTACCAAGGCAGCAACTTCGTGGACAGTACCAGACAGGTGCGCGAGGGATATGTTCGAAAGATTGTGGTCAACAACTATGCGCGGTGTGTCTGCGATGCACACCTGCAAGCTCTAAGCCCCGGCAGGTTGCCTTGCCTGAAGGAAGATCGTCCAGGCCCTAGATCAAGTGTGATGATCCTGAAGCACGGAAGATAATGCTCTCATTTGTCACTGGGCGTGTGTCCTGCAATCCCGGCGTGTCCCAGCACGCAGCAAGACACAACGGGAAGAGCACGGAAGAGCGGAGATTCGATGGAGTCCGTCCTGCCAAGGTGCCACTGGATTTTGAGATTTCCTCTCGAGGCCTTGCAGAATTGGCAATAGAGCACCACAAGATCACTGAGGGCAGTTTCGATGTGGGTTGGGACTCTGCTTTCGTAGGATGCCTCCAATCGTGGCGAGCGGGGATGGCAAGACCAAGGCTGCCACTGACAGAGCTTTTGAAGGCTTCAGACTTTGATTTTTGTTTTGTGAGCGGGACCCACTCCAGTTTCGATCCTGACTCCCGACATTACATGGTGCCGTTTAAGAAGGCTGATCAAGCTCCTTCCGGTCCAGTGAGCGTTTCACGCAAGCGGCCAAACCATGCTAATCCCTCCTCACAACCGACTTGGCAACCTAGCCACCGTAGGCGCCTAGTTTGCGTAGTGTTGAAGCACGGGTATCACGGTCTCGCTGCTTGCAGTACCACTGCAGTAGTGGACACCAGCCGTAGAAGTGTGTGAAACAGGAGGGGCAAGGTCCGAATTGAGGTCTATTTAGAAGCTTGCGGCACAAGTGCAAGCAACTCCTGATTCCTGCCTGACATGCTGGCAGGTCAGTGGGTTTCAGATTATGCTGGGCTTTGCGTCCTTGTGGCTCAAGATCCTAGCTTGGGGCGCAATCATGAGAGCAAACAAGTGCACACGGGTTAAATGCAGAAGCTGTTGGGATGCAGCCCGCGTGTCTATGGGCCTGATGGCTGCTGATGTTCTCAGCAGACCTCTTGGCGAGAGCCAGGCTCAGCCTGGGCAGCAGGGGATGCGAGCTGATAAAGTGCAAAGACACTTCTCATGACCTGCTGCTTCAGACAGCCCAGTTGCAGGCCCAACTTGACATTTTGAGGCCGGCAGTCAGACCCTCCGGTCCCTTCTTGTGCCTTAATGTACCGCATTCCTACAAGGGCATTCTGCCCAGGTCTTGAGTAGCTTGGCCAGAATGACCTTCCTGAATCTGACAATGCAAAGAGCACGAAGCCAGGGATGCCGAGCCCCCGCGGCACTGAGGCCTCGAGGCCGGCTGCCGATCTATCAACATTATGTATCGTCTTCTTTGTATTTCATCAATAGGCCTGGTGTGTATGGATCTCAGCCACATTTAACGAATTTCTGATGCTACCACGTCAAAATTGGTTGTTTGTTGGGCATCCATCTAGACTCGTCTGTAGCCCGAAGCCATGTTTGTCAGTCGGGGCCTCGGCGCCCCGCCGCTTCCACGGGGCGACCGGGCGGTGTCGCAGGAGCGCTGTGTTGGAGGGATATCTGCTGCATGAGTCCAGTAGCATTTCTTTGAGCTTGACAGAGTATGTGTAAAATGTCCATAACGATGAGTTGCACCTGGTTGCCAGGAGACAGTTGGCTTGGTCTCGGCAAGCTCGAGGAACGGGAAGCTCTGCCACATGATAAGCTCACGATAGAAGTTGGCCGGACTACTTCAGACCTCTTTAGGATCCTCTGGGCCTAAGAGACGCGAACACTTGTCCAAATGACCAGAAGTGTGACCCCTCCACTCACTTTCCAGGAGGGTGGACAAATGCGCCACGCTGGCAGCCGACTCCCCAGTTTGTAGTAGACAATGTGCGTTTGGAGCCCAGACTAGTATGCTTTGAATTTTCCTGCAGGAGTGGATAGATGCCGGCGACACCTCTCCGCATACGGGCAACCCGGGCATGTTTGGCCAAACAACTCTATCAAACAATGCTTTCAAGCTTAGCCGTGAAAGTCGGCCTGCGATTGGATGCGATCGGAGCTGGCGTGATGGCCTTCTTTGGCGCGATTTGGCTTGCAGCTTGCAGGTCTCACCTCACAAATCAGCTTGCTGATGCTACGGAGTGCATCGCTGCCAAACGGTTATGGCTTCGAGTTTGCACTGCCCTCAGGATGCACCACAGCGCCACCTGAGATCTGTTTACTGGTTGTTTGTCAGGATCGGGCCCTGGGCCGCGTGGTGCTCCGTCATGCGGCTGGAGTTGTCATTCATGGCCAAGCCCTCCTGCCTGGCCTCTCAGTTACTGGATGCATGATATCCGCGTTTGCAAGCTGACTATGCTTTGCGTTTCAAATGTACCGCTGGAGATGCTGTCGCATCGCAAAATTGTAGCCACGAGCGCCAACATGCGAGTGTGGGCAGGGTGGAATGTGATGATGTCGAGTTCGATGCAGAGCTGCTCAGCGGCATTTTGCAAAAGATGGGGCAGGCGCTTGTGCAGGTGCTTGCTCGTCTCGGGCCTGCGCACCTTAAGGACTTTGCTGTGCGGCACTGATTGGAGTGCTAAGGCTGGCCTACCACTACTGCAGCTGGAAGGAGTTCTGCCTATGACTGAGCATGTGCCGAAGCTGGGACCCTCAAATCACTTGCAGCGCAGGGATGACCTGGGAGGTTGCTCATCATGAGATTGAAGGTTGCGGGGAAATGTGGCTACTTCTGATTTGAAATCATCTCAAGTTGCGTGCTAGACCTGATGTGGATGCTGGGAAACCTCAGGTCAGCTTGTAAGCAGCAGTGAGCCGCAGCCTCAGCAAGTAGCATGTGGCCATATATGGCGCATGTCAGGCAGTCTCTGCAATTTGGACAGTAGACGGACATGATGCTTTGGTCGCGCCCAGCCTTTGCGTTTGGCTTCAAGCCACGCCGCGTGTTCGATGCCCGGGTTCAACTGAAGCTCAATTACACTCCAGATGAGATCGATCTATTTTCCTATCTTCAGTGAATGCCCCTAAAGTCTTCGGCATTGACCTTGCTAAGATTTGAACTGCAAGCTTTCAATGCAGAATCTTCAAACGGTTGATGCCAGACATTGGATGCCCTCAAGCCCTGAAGCTTTCCGTGCGGTCCGAAACCAACTGGCATGGTGCTGTGGATGATTGGTTTGGGACTTGGGGATGAGGGTGACATCTCCGTGAAGGGGCTCAAAGCAGTGCAGCAGAGACTTGTGCTGCAGGGTAAACATGCGAGCATCCTGAAATTTCTTGAACTTCTGCGAGTGAAGAGAGATTTGAAGAGCTCAGGAGCGCCTACGTCTATTTGGAAGCGCTGCTTGTTTTCAGAAGTTAACCATCTTTCAGCCATCATTAATTGCCAACTTTTGATTGCGTACAGCAAGGTACACTTCCATCCTTCCAGGTCTTGACAGGGAGACTTTGGCCACAGCGCCCCTCGGCCCCATGTCACTGCGGTTTGTGCAGCACCAAGCCAACATGGGTTGAGGTACGGTGTGGCAGAGATCTTGGAGGCAGACCGGGACCTGGTCGAAAGTGGCTGCGAAGAAATGTTGGAGCGGGCGAAGGATGCTGCCTGTGCCTCTTGCATGCCCAAGCTTTCCGCAAGTTTTCCGGCGCTTTACCCAATCACTGCTTGCAGGACCAGGAGGTGTGACCTGACTGCAGCGAGTTTATTTTGAGAGTTGGAGGTCGTGTGCCAAGATCGCTAGCAGATCTTGCACAGCTAAGGTGCTTCCTTGTGGTGGGAGACCCACTTTGCGCCACAACTCACACAGACCTTTGGCTCAGGGCAAGGCCTGGCATGGCGAGCTGTGGGAAGAGAAGCGACTCGCGGTTGCGAGCTGTGCGGGGAGGCAGCGTGACATTCCAGTACGGGTCATCCACAACGCCTCCGTCAGGACCTGAGCACCGCCAATTACTTGTGCAAACTGCTGCTAGAGCGGTACTGTAGAGTCGAGTTGCAGACGCAGACGCGCGCCGTCCGTGGAGTTTCTTTTAGACCTCCCGCACGAAACCTCAGGTCATGAATGCTGTGGCATCGTGTGGTCTGCAGCTCTACCGCTTCGGTGAGACCGTGTCTATCCCTTTCTGGCAGGATGGCTGGCGACCTGACAGCTGGTATGACACTGGGACAGAGAAAGAGCTATACAAGTCTCGTTTGCGACATCGACTGAGACACATGTACACCATGGATGCAGCATCCTTAGACATGCCTTATAATCCTTCCGTCAAGGATGGCACGTACTGCCGGCATATGCATCTGAGGACAAAATCTTGAAGAACAAGCAGGCTGGACTTCACACGCTCTGCCTTCTGGACATCAAGGTCAAAGAGCAGTCAGCGCCTCTACTAACTAGCAGCTAGATCTGCAAACCAATCGGTCAAATAGTCTGCAAGCAACCCAGGTCGAGAACTTGATGCGAGGGCGGAAGATCTACGAGTCGCCGAGATTCATGACAGTCCCCAACTAAGCTCCGAGCTTTTGACCCAAGCCAGTCGATCTTCCGACCTTCAAAGATTTGTGGATTCTGGCAGCTGCGGTGCAGGTCGGCCAGGCACTGGAGCAGCTTCTTGACGTCGACAAAGCCGCAAGGCGGCAATATGCGGCAATGGGGGCAAGGCAGAAAGCAATGCTAAATGATGCTTGCGGAAGTAGTTTGAAGTCGAGACTCCGCATCTGAACAGCCTCATTCAGCTGGCATGGCAGAGCAACTAGATCCACTGTCTCAATTCTGGTCCATGACAGACATTTGGCGAATGCCGTGTTATGAAACTACTTAGCCTTGCACCGAGGCCAAGGCTGAGGGCGTTTCAGCTGGCATGGCATTCGGCTTGGCACGGCTGGGCCGCGAGGACCAGGCGTCACATTGGGAAAGCTGAGCTTTGAAGCACACCATGTGGAAGCTGATGAGCAAGCTACGGTGCATCAGGTCATTCGTGCAGGCCCGATCGAGCAACTTGCAGAGGCCGAGTTCGGAGGCCCGCTGCACTCCCTGGTGCCCTGGCAGCAATGGCGGTATATCGCGGTGCTGCTAGTGTGATGTCCCAGATCACAACAGGAGGGACTTCCCCAAGCAACATCATTTGAAAGTTGGAGTTCAAGCTACCGGGTGTTGGGCCATGACTGCTCCATTTGTCGACAGTCAGCAGACATTTGGGTTAGAAGCCATCGCTCTTGATGCGCTTTGTTTTCTGCGTTTTAGCATTGCAGCTTGCTGCAGACCAGGCTTGGATGCCAAGGTGATTTGCGCAGACGACCTGCACGAGCTGGAGCAGGAGTTCGTACAACACTACCACCTGTGAAGGTTGAAAAAGGGCTCGCTGCCTTGCGCACACATGCGAAACCATAAACTCGCTGGATGCTTGGTGAGGTCTCTTCCTGCCCGCGTTTGGAAGCCAGGAACTCATAGCGGCCTGCATTTGTAGCACTGAAAAGTCTACTCAGTCGACACAGCCAAAGCAGCTTCCAGCAGTGTGGCCGGTGTGAAAGAGTTGTTGCTAGCGTGATCCTTCAAGGCATTGGCGGACCACACGACGAGAACCTGCTTCTTTCCCCAAGGGTCCCGAGGCTTGGGCGACTACTTCATTTCACAATATGTCGCAGTCGTTTGCGCAACTATCTTGACGTTGGGTGTCCCCACACGTCATGCAGACATGTATTTTTTTTGGTTCGGGAAGTTGAGGCGTGGGAAAGTTTACGAGAGCCGAGGTCATTCGTTTAGCATGCCAAAGGTTGAGGACTTGTGGCGAACGCTCCATGCCAAATAGAGCGTGCTTCTGAGGAAGTTGCTGCCAGCCTGGGCAGCTGTGCACCAACCAGTGAGTGGGGCCTCCGAGTCCGTCCTGTCATCGCTTCATCGCTTCAGCATGGCCATTGCCTGTTCTTTCTGCTTGCCTTACTTTACTGGGCGACCTTAATAGATGTGTGACTTGATATGAAGTTTCGAGATAGTGCAACCTTTGCGGACGCTCCAGAGCCCAGTCAAAGTCTTTGAGCATCGCCTGTCAATCTCTCAGACACTCTGAAGGCTTCAAGAAGTGTCCTGCTGCATCCCACTACATCAAGCACCTCCTTTGGGTGCTCGACTTGGCTGCTTAGCATTGCTGTGCTCGTCCAGGTTTGGCAAGCGATGACTGAGAGGTTGGCAACCGTGGCGTCATGCAGCTGAGGCAGCAGCTCTGTCCCATCGGAATCCTCCGATGTTGAGCTGCACTTTGCAGGCAACTAAAGAGCTGCTGAGCTGCATATCAGAAGACTCACGAGCTGCGGCAGCAGGACTCGGACCAGCACCTACGCCGCAGGACGCCAATCCTCACATTCAGCAATAGCCGACAGCCTTCCCAGGTTAAGGTTAAAGCCTCCTTGCTGTTGCAACATAGCTAGCCGCTAGCCGCGCCGAACATTTAGAGGTTTGTGGGCTTGAGAACTGTGCCTTGGATAGTTTCACCACTCAAGTGCAGGACATCCGGGGAGCTGCGCAAGCCCAGGACAGCCCTGGCTAAGGCCTTTGTTCTTTTACAGGTGCAGCTTGCAGCTCCGAATACTTGCAAGTCCTTTGCTTGTTGTTACGAGGCTGAGGAGTGCAAATCAGTCTGCAGATTGAATAGTACGAAGCCTTTCTTTGCTTAGCTTAGTCGCCAGAAGCCCAGGCCCATTTGCAAGATTTTGAGAGGGATCTTTTGGCGGTGGAATTTCATACTTGCATGGGTGCAGCCCATTTCTTCGTCTCTCTCCCTCTGCCTAGTGTCCATTGCTGACCCATGTCATTAAGCTGGCGACGCATTTGCCGAGAAGACAGCCGGAACGGAGCACGATGGACGGTAGATCTGAGCAGGGTAAAACAAGCAGCAGAAGCTGGTTACGATTTGGCGGGTCTTCAGGATGAGTTTGGAAATTCCCTCCTAGATTACATGATCTCCTGCCCATCCAGCCACCTGCTGAAAGAAGATTGGCTGCAGTTCTTGGAGACTGTGCAGATTCTGGCCACCGCTGGCAACAAATGTCAAGTGTGCATGCACATGCTGTTTGGCTTCTGCGAAGAGGCACTCCCCAAGTTGAGCATCGACAAACTGCAAATCGCGCTGCATGCCGGGCTTAGAGATGACTTCAAGGATGAGGCTCTGCGGCACTTTCAGCACGAAGGACGTGGGCCCTTTCCAGCGACACTGGAGACATGCCTTCTTCGAAGGGTGATCCGCGAATTCCCGAGGGAACAGCTGTTGCAGCCATCAAAGCTCCAATGCCTCGAGGTTGTAAAGCTTTTGTTGCAAGTGAACACGCGCACCGCCATTGACGCAGTCAGGAAGGAGATCCACGTCATACATGCGCGGTTGCGGCATTTGCCCTGGCTACTGGCAGACTATGGCGATTGGGCAACAGCCCCTTGCGATTCTGTCCGAAACCCCACTAGCTCGGAGCTTTTGGCACTGAGAATCTTGAATGCGCAGATGGAGATGGCCTTGGCCTCAGGTTTTGGTGGTGAACCAGGCAGCGAGATTCGCTTCCTTCCGGCCTCAGGTGCGGCAATGGCTTGCACTCCCAGAGGCCAGCATGGCATGCAGGGCTCTTAAGCATGAGCTGTGCAAGCAAATGTGAGATTTTCAGTGACTTCAGTGGCGTTGGTGTGACGTCTTGAGGGGCTGCGCTGCTCTTTGCATGACAACTCCCTGGGGGTCGGACTATCTTACATTGGGTGTTCTTGTAAGCGCTTTGATAAGCATCCACTATTGGAATTCATCTAGTAAAAACTACTGTTGGACAAGGCTGGCTTGGTGTTTTCTACAACGTCTGCAAGGTTTCAGCTCATGTACAAGTAGAACAGTCCTTGGAACGATTGACAATGACTACGCTTGATTTCGTGGCAGCTCAGGGGAGGTATAGGCGGTAGAGGTTCGGGCATTGGTTTGGACGTCTCCTAACTTATGTCCCTTATGGAAAACGGTTTCGGTCTGATCAAGAACGTACCCCTATACCCATGCCATGCCTCCACCTGTCTGAAATCAGCGTCCGAATTGTAAAGCACGTGTAAAAAGCTTGAAATCCTTGTGTAAACATGTTGCCAAACCTCAGCGTTTGCAGCGGACGGGCAATTTCATGGCTTGATGGGTTTATGCTGGAAGCAGCATCTACATGTGGATAAGCATTTTCTGCTGTGTGATTCCCCCGCTCATGTGTATTCCTTCCAAACCCAGCGTCTGCAATAGATCATGTGAATTCTCACCAAATGAGGTCAGTTGACCCACCTTTGTAGCAGAACTCAGCCTCAGTCAGGGTGTAGGAAGGGTGCAAGATGAGGTCGGTAGGCGCGATAGTCCATGCCAGGTGCGGTTGCAAGATGCCTTGGCATCGCGATTCCTGTGCGGTCTGACTGGCCCTTGTGGCATGAATTTGCCGGGTCCTGCGGTGCTTCTCACTGAGGCTTTCGTTCTCGGACCTGCATTGAAGTCGGGAGCCATCTCTGAACATGGAACTGTTGACCTGCTCTTTGCATGAGAGGCTGTAATTCATGCACGTTTTCTTGAAATGGACCTGGGCAGGTGCACTTTCTTGTAGGTTGCCTCGGAAAGCAGGGAACCAGTGGAATCGGCGCGACTACCCGCCGACCAGCCAAGTGCTGGTGTGGAATTCTGCCCCGGAAAACTTAGCAAGTCCTGGTACATGCTTGCCTTGTGCGGATACGAGCACTGACAAACTGTTTCGATTGGTTTTGGACGTTTCTGGCATTGCAGGAGACACTGCAGAAAAAGCTATTGGCCGCTGAGAGCCAAGATCTCCACGAGGAAAACTGGGCGGAGGCTGGCCAGATGCAGATCAACAAATGCAACGCAGGCATCACTGGGCATGCTACGCAGAAAGGCTTCACCATCCCCACCTCGCAAGAACGTTGGAGCAACACGCACTTAACATGGCAACAAGCCGCCTCCTTTTGACACGGCTCAACTAAGACTAAGAATCATGAAGGGGAGTGTGGTTTCACAAGACCTTACTGGACAGCGCCAAGTGAACTCCTTGTCGATTTAGACAAGACTACCTTTGCAGTCGGGATATGAGCACACTCTGTCAGATCCGCCATCGGCTGATGGAGAAGTCAGAGCATGGGGGGAGGACCCTTAACAGGATTTTCGGCAGCTTTCAAGTTGCACACCGCGCTGCATAATTACGATTCTCTTTTGAAGAATTTTGGAGCAAGTTCTTGCAGTGACTTTGCCAAAGATGTCGATTGCTTTCGGCAAGGAGGGCTGGCCACGGTGAAGAGGTTGGGCAGCAGAGCCATATGCCATGCCATCCCTGGGTTTGATGCTTCTGGCCTTCTGGCCATGCCGCTCACGGCGAAGTGGCAGCGTGGAGAGAGTGCTGTGTCTGCTGTGTTGTTGGCCCGTGGCTTTCAGGAGAAAGCATTGCAGCGCTTGCCCCATGCCGCAGAGGCCCCCTTTGCAAAGTGTATGCTGAGCAAGCAATTCAGCGGACCCACCTTGGAGCTTTACGCGCAACCAGCTTCAAGCAGTTGTTGCTGTGTGTAGACTTATGCCAGTATGAGTGTGTCACGTTATGCTCAAAGCATGCCCATGGAAAGGTGTTCCTTCTATCTGCAATGCTGCGGCCGGTGCCTCACGAACTCAGATCTTCAAAGCCGCTGATTCGTGTGCTTCGTCCTTAGTCCAAGCCTCAGGTGGAGGTCTCTGACTCTTGACTCTGGATGGCAGCCGCCCTGGATGGACTCTCCGTCTATTTTTGGTCATTAAGCGTTGGAACTGAGGCAGGATACGGGTTGGGCCAGGCCCCCAGTGCAGCCTGCACAGAGCATTTGATGGTGACTGGAATCTGCAGCTCTGAAGCTGGAATGTTGGATTGCGAGGAGCTCAACCTCAAGCAGGTGCTACGAATCTGGCTGCGCAAAATGAAGACTGGCCAAGGCCGGCCCTCAAACTGCCGAGCTTTCATACACCTGAAGATCCTGCAGCAAACGACCTTCTTTCGAGCTTGACCACCGCAACTTACAAAAAAAAGACATACCTTAATGCGCGGAAAGTCTTCTGGACAAGCCTGATGGCCCAAGGGGTTCTTGGCTTTCTTGGGCAGGCTCGTGCGGCATGAAGGTGGCCTTTTATGAGAGGGATGGAAGCAGCCGGCAACCCCAGTTGCGGACCATGCGAGCCACATTTGAACAGCTGTCCTGAAGATCGCTTCTTACTGCATGCCTGCTGGGTAATTGTTGCATGCTTGTGCATGCTTTCTCTCGGCCTTGTCTTGTTAGCTTCCTTCCTTGAGACGGCTCAGGGGACACACCCGAAGCTAGCGCAACCATCACAGATGGCAGGCGCACTTCAAATCGTGGGCACAAAAGTGTCAAAGTCGTAAATAGTTGATCCTCCAAGCTTGCTGAATCATTGGAGGTGGCTGCTAACTGCGTCTGGGCGAGAGCCTGTGAGGCCGATGTGCTACTTAGGCAAGTCACTAGCACTAATCTTGCACCAGCGTCGCAGACCGCCTGTTCAGTCAACGAACAGCACAGGACAGAGAAGCTGCTTGCAGACTCTGACGAGTGGTCGGGATCTCATACGTGTCAGGTTGTGTTAAAGTTTCGTCCTGCACTATGTGCTTCGAACATGGAGCGCAGCATGAGGTTGTGGCTCCAGCTTGTTCGCTGTGGTTCTGGTGGCAAGTGCAAGCTGCACGCTGGATCGGGACCGCAGCGCCCTCAAATTCTTGGCGTCGAACTTACAGAGGTGCAACGCATATTAGGTGTGGTAAGTGCCGCATAAATCATGTGCTTCAAGGCGTATGGACGATTATTGGAACTGCTGTGGTCGAGCTTGGCTTGAGCAGTGGCTGTAGAAAACGGCGGTCAAATTCAAGAATTGCGTGTGTTCCATTTGGGGCACCAGACCCTGCACAAGGATCTCTGCTCATTTATGACCGTTTATAGTCTTGTCACAGTCCTAGTAAGTAGGCAAGTCAGCCTAACCCTGAGAACCACCAAAAAGCAGTCCTCACATAACCAACCCACTCAGCCAGTACGTCATCATGACCTCGTGAGTCGATCAAGCACGCCACGGTATGAGTCAATGAGAGAAGTAATGAGAGAAGACCGCGACACTGAAACGCCGATTGGTTTGCAGCCATGGCAAGCTCCCGAGGGCGGGACCTCAGCGTTGCCGCTGGGCTGCGCACCAGCTTGAGCTTTCTTTCCATGTACGGTTGTGAGACCCTGAGCTCCCTGAAGGTTCTGGATGATTTGGGTGTCCAGTTCTCAGCTGAAATAGACGTTGTAATGCCTATGACAGAGCTGTTTGCACTGGGGTTCAAGTGCCAAGATGTGCCAAGGTGGGCTTCTACCACGTAATGGTCGCCTTGTTCTGCTCTGGAGTCATGTTGGCTGATGGCGCGGAGATGTTGTCTCTTGGCTGTGCGTCCCCAACTGCTTTTCTCCCTCCCACCACGCTTGCGCATAGGGTAGTCTCGGATGGTCAAACCGTGTACCAAAAAGTGCAAACGAACTTGGGCAGACTTGAGGCTGGTCTCTGCCATTGTGGCAGCCGTGGGCTCCAGCCCTGAGCTCCGCATGGGCCGCATGGCCAGGGGTCTGCTTGTGTCCAACTCTCAGCCTGGAATGAGCGTCTTGCATGTCCCTTGAAGCTGATGAACATCTGTTTGAAGAAGGCAGTGCTAGCAGCATGTCATGGTCGGCAGAGTGTCGTGGTCTGAAGGTCTAGTTCTTTTGCTGGCATGCAGATGGGAAACCTTCTCAGCGGACCGCTTAGCAGCAGGCGCATTGAAAGACCGAATATGCAGAAGATGAACATGCCGGGTTGATTGTTGCAATCTAAACAACTGGCCGCCTCAGAAGTCAGGTATGGCCGGCGAAGAATATGTATTGTCTCTCTATGGCTTGTCAGCATCTTTGGGCTTGCCAGCTCGTTCCTTGGCCAATTTGAGCGGATCCGCCACGCATCTGGTTTTGCAGAAGTGTGCTGCATTTGCAGGATGGTGCAAACCATTGGCCAGCTCTTCTTTGTGCAGCAGCTGGACTGCAATTGGATAGGCAAGCTTGCGCACAACCCAACTTCTGGAAATGGTTGGAAAACCATGGTAGGTCATATGAGAAACCTATAATTTTGTCGAGACTTTGTGCCTGGATCTGCTGCGCTGCTAACTTTTAGGCCGATGAGCCCTCGTTTGATTTCCTCTCTCGCATCGCCAAGGATTAGCTTGGGCTGCGCTATCGGCATTGGCGGTCCCTCAGCCGTGACGTTGCTCACTGAGGACAGGGCAGGGACAATTCGCAACAGTCATTGCAGTTCTGACGGACGTTTGCATGTGCTGCGTCAATGTGGGCATGCAAGTGCGGAAAGTGTGCGCAAACGTCTGGCATACATAGCGATAGCGCTAGATGCTGTGGTATTTGGCTTAACTAAACCGAATCCAACACCCTGTTGGACTGTTGAATGGTCTCTTAGTTAAGTCGTTGACGGTATGCTGTGCGCAGGCTACACCGACAGAACAAAGGGGAGCACTCAGCAATGCCACGGGCTTCGCTTTCGTGTTGCTGAGTGCCAATTAAGTAGTTCACGAACCGCAAGCCGCTTGGCCTCATATGCCCGCACAGATGCCTGCGCATGGCGCTCAGGCTTGGAGAGGCTTGGACTGCCCTGGGCCTCTTGCTTTTCATGCCAGATCTCAAGGTGTCTCGAAGGCAAGCACAAACCCTCGATTTTCATGTGCTGTCTCCGTACGAACACCGACCTGAGGAAGTGTTGCTAAGCCATGCCTATTTCTCATGCAGGATGCGACATTGCAATGCACTGCAGTAGGCACAAAGTGTACCCGAGCCCCGCGCGGATCCCCTCCAATCTCAGGGGCCTTGGAGACTCTTGTGCATTTGGGGTGTGCTGCCCGCCTTCTTCGTGAGTCCCTTGGGTGCCACGGTGGCAGATAGTGACAAACACAACTCCTGAAGGAAAGGGGGAGCAGCTGAGAATTCAATTGCGACAGCTTGCAAGGATGGCTTGTACGAGAGTCACCCAGCTGGCTGCAGCTTAGTGGCCGGGAGCTTGGGCATGGGTGCGTAAGCCGGATGTGAGAGTTTTGTGATGTGCAGCTGTTGCAATCTTCTTGCAGCTTAGCGTGAACAGGGAAGCGCAAGGAGCTGAATGACCTGCTGGCTCGGAGCTCAGGTTTACAGATGCTGAACGATGTGCAATTCACGCAGTTCCCTTGCTGGCAAACACAAGAACACCTTTGAGGCCAACATACAGCGTCTTCACGGAAAGGGCGAGGTCAACATTGAGGTTGCTTGAGCTTCATTTGATACTGACCTCCTGCAAGGGTTGGGGAATTTTCGCGGATGAGCAAAGGTCCAGAAAACCTCGGGCTGTTCCTCCAAGACTTTGGCTTCCACCTGGCATGCCATCATCCAGGAGGGCCATTGCAGGAGCTCATATGCTCTTTGCCAAACATTGGCATCAAACAAGAGATCCTGCTTCCGTTGCTGCAGCTAGGAACCCATGCCAGCCCGCACACGGAGCTGAAGTTTTGTAGGTTCTTGTATTCCAGCATTCCGAAGTCTAGATCTTGATCAGAGGTAAACCCTAAACCGCGTGGTGTAACAGTTACAGGGAGCACAACGTCACAAATCTCCCATGAATTTGTGACGTCTGTCACCGCAGGACACTTGTGCTGGCCTCTTATTTGGCCTTCCTCATGAACTATCTGTTTTACGGAACAACATTTGCTCCCTGTCTTGCAGTTCGCAGTATGATCTTCATCATGGTGCCTTCATGAAGCATCTCGTGCTGATTGCTCATGTCTGAATGTCAGGCTTTCACGCAGCGACTTGGAGGCAATTATCTGTCTAGCTCTTTCCACACACTGTTTTTTTGCCTCCTGGTCGAGCCCGCACCTCAGCAGGAACAATACCTCAGGATTTTCTCCGAATCAGAGGGGGACTGGACCAGCCCTGCCATGGAGATGCTGATCGTCTCCGGCGCAGAGTTTGCGGGCATTCTGATCGCGTGGTTGCTGTTGTTTCCTGGATTCAGATCTGGGGCAGAGAAATAATGAAAGCCCTACTTCAACTCGTGCTAACGGAATTTTCATCTTTTGCTTGACCCCCTGATAGCGAGAGTTTGCATTAATCAGAGAAAACCTGCAAAGGCTGCACCCAACTCTGGGCCTCAGCCTTAGGCTGCAGTGCCAATCCGGCTGCGTGCACATCACCTTCGGGCTTGCTCAGGACGAATCCGAGCACTGCAGATGCTTTGCCTTGGCTCAGCCCTCTCAAGCGCCGCATTGATGAGCCGCCTGCTTAACAGAGAGGGCTCGATGAGATACAAATATTGCAGCTGTGAAAACGACGATCCTCAGGCGTTGTCTACGGCAACTTTTACGTGGCCGATCCCGCAGCGTACGTTCTGAAGGCAGAGTTGCATGGGGTTGCAATGTGCAAATCATCAAACTCGCCCGAGTGCGTCACGACTGCTTGATCACTCCAATACTCTCCTTGCATTCTTTCTCCCTGATCTCTCTCCTCGCTTGCACATTCTATTCTTTAAGTGCTGCTCGGCAAGGCTGTGGTCAGCATCATGTTCACGTTTCTTTACCTGTACATCTCTGAGGCTTTGCCAGCCGCTAGGATGGAGTGTTGCATGGTTGTAGGTTGTGCGCATGGCATTGCAATACCATGGTGGTGCGGCACGTGTTACGAAGTAACCCAGGTTTCTGTGCGAGCTTCCGGCGTGGGCCTTTGCATGGGCATTGGTAGACTTGGATCCATTGCAGCACCTCGACGGCACATGGCATGGGTGGCGTGAAGTGGCTGGTGATGTTGTCTGGTTCAACGTGGTTCACACAAGAGTTGAAGTTCTTGTAGACGAACATTATCCAGAACAAAGCTGCAAGGGGGGTTCCAAACCACAACAAGAATACAAAATCAACAACGAAGAAATACCTCCCCGACTAATTATACACTTGTACATGTGGCGTGTGCAAGGCTGTTTGTGCAAGGCTATCCTTGGGGGGGGTGGGGCTGGAGGGTCAAAGGTCTATGGATTTGGACAGGTATGCATTTGTTGGGGCGAAAGCTGACGTCCTTTGAGGGGTCTTGCATATGGCCCAAAGCCTTGGGGGGGGTGGGCTGGAGGGTCAAAGGTCTATGGATTTGGACAGGTATGC